ACAATATTGTTTTGCTAGGCTGGAGTAAAAATGGCATGAGAGAGAACATTCAGTATTGATTTAATCTTATGCTTCTACTAGTAAATTCAGCTTTAATGCTGATTTCTGGCACTGAGAACTTCTGAAAGTCCTTACCCGAAAGAGTGAAATTAAATATTATACTGTTAAATTTCACCACGAATGCGTATAGATTAGTATCTGTAGAGCTGAAAAAGTCCATAATGGAAGCATGCCTATAAAAACTGAAACCTTTACAGCATGCTAATGGCTTTCCGTTAGGTCAGATTAATGTTTTCTGCTAGGTATTTAGCAACTGTGCTTTTAGTTTGTTAGGAAAAAATAACTGCTGGACCAGTTGGTTCACCCTTGGGGATAAATTTGCATGCAGGAATGTCGTGGGTTGTGAACGAGTGTCATCAAAGGGCATCAGCGGTGGAGGATCCAGGAGGTGATGTTACGTGGGGACCTGGTGTCAGAGAGCTGCTAAGGCAGAACTTACAGGGACATTGCCAAAATGACAAGGATGAGTGTGGTTTTTTTCTCCTTTTTGAAAGGTGGAGGAAATTAATTGAAGCTGGGTTCTCTTATTTTGAAGAAACTACACACAGAAGTGAGAATGCACGTTTGCATGTATTTTCACTTGTGTCTCTTCCCAAGCACTTTTAAATGGATGCTGGCAGTTCACTGGACAGATTTCAGTTGCTAGAGAGAGGCTGTGGAGAGGCTCCTCCCTTGGTGTTTTCTCTTCATCACAGATTTTTTAATCAGTGCTTCAAATCCTCTCAATATCCATGTTGTTTGCAACCTCGGTATTCTCTCCTTCTAGATCTTGAAATAGCAAGAGACCCATTATCACATTTCTTCCTCCCACAGCCCTATCCTTCTCATCTGAGAAATGTTACTTGAAGCTTCTATTAATAGTAAAGAGGTACGTTTGCACTGTATTTTTCATGAAGAGGATTCTTAAAAATGCTTTGTAACTTATACTAATGCAAATTTATATAGGAGGATTTGACATCTGAGGTTCCTCAGAGCTATACTTCCTAATTGTTTGATATGTAACTAATGGGCTCTACCACCAGGAGTAAATCATTAAGTGCTCTGATTCCTGGATACCCAGCTGGAGGCTGGACCTGACTTTGTGCTAAACTCATGCCCTCTAAATGTCAGTCCACTTTAAAGTGTTTAAAAGAATGTATCTCAAACCAAATAAATTTGGGATTATTAGAGACTTCTGAAGATGTTCAAATGCAATAAATAAAATAGAATGCAGTTCCATTAGGTAGCAATGCAGAATCTTTTAAACCATGCATGGTAGCATTAAAATAAAATTTAATAGAAGAAACGTAAAATAATACTTCCTCTATTTCAATGTGCATGAGAAAGTAAGATTGAGGGCATGAAATACTTGAATAGAAATTTAACTGACCTTTGAATTAAATTTTTGAAGTCTCATGAGGAAATTTATTATTCACCACATATTAACAGCACAGTTGGTTCCTGTTCTGCTCAAGAAACAGCAGTTATTCTCGTGAAGAAAGACTGCAGTCCTGAGAGAACCTCCACATAATATCCACTATTGAATCATCCTGAAGCAACATACTTAAGAAATACCTCAGTTATTCACAAAAAAAAACCACTTTCGAGAATGCAGAAAACTCCAGTTTGGGGCTTATTGTCAAGTCATGCATCAGGGCAAATTCCAAAGGCAATCTGCAGCATTTGTGGCATTTTGTGGACTTGTCGGTGAAAACAAGAGAAAACTGCATCCACGGTCCACGTTTAAAGACTGACCTGAGAGTGAGTGAGCGAGGCAATCTTTGAGGAGACTACAGCATAGAAAGGGCTGAAAGCCTACCCTTGCTCCATCAAAATCCAGAGAAATACTCTCAGGGAGGGACGGGAGCAGAGAGAGGTCCTGTGTCTGCGCAAGGGGCCGTAGGGTAGAACCGCCCTCGGGTAGGTCCTGGAGTGCAGCACTTGGGTAAGGGCAGAGTTGATGTAAGTAGGAATGTATATGGTAAAACTGGCTCTCGACAGGGTTAGCATTACAGCCAAGCAAAAAAAAACAGTAATAACTTCATTACGAATGGCATTTTACAGATACTGACATGTTTGATTGGCTGCACTACACAGAGAAATCGTTTCAAGTCTGGTTTACCATTAATTAATTACTTCTGTTCCACATACAATCCCATTTTCTCTTGCAATTTAAAAGTGTGGGTTCAAATTACCTGTCAATGCAATTTAAACCCAATGACTGCTGTGCAGAATGTTTTTCAGAGACATTCGTTGCTCACGGGGAAGGCGATTCTGCCTGGTGCTGAAGCTGGGAGAGGAGGTGAGGTGCCCCAAGCTCCTGCACAGGTGGGATGGCATCGCGAGTTGGAGAGCAGATGCAGTAACCCTCACAGCATTTGTCTTACTTTAGGTTTTTGTGGTGTCTAGAGTTGTCTTTGTAATCAGAAATGCACAAATCTGAATATAAAACCAACCCTAGAGGATATTTTCCTTTTATTTTATTTTTTTCTGTGACTTGTCAACTCTGTGAAGCTCAGTCTACCTGCACAGCAGGCACAGTGAGTGTATGAGGAGGGCACAGGAGTGGGTGTTTGTAGTCCAGATTTCCAGACTTGGCTTCCTATAGATGTCGTGTGCAACAATAAATATTTAATAACTATCCGTTTTGCATAATAAAACTGTGTTACTGATTTCTTGGACAACTAAATCCTCTGTTTTTCACCCACTTGATAAGTCAAAGCTGTGTTTATGTGCGAGGTTGTGACTGGAGATGCATTTGTGAAATACTTGGAATACGTGGAGAACCTGTCATGTATGAGTTATTGGCTGAACCACACCTACTAATTATGTGCTATATTTCTCCTTTTTTTACCTTTGCAAAACTGACTTTCAAAGGACAAGACAAGGCTACTTGGCAGAAGGAAAGAAAATATGCTGCCTGCTTTTAACTCTGAAAGATGATACCATTATCTGTATGTTCCTTCTCAGACAACATTTGTGAAGGCACGTTATTGAAAAGAAGGTTGTTATGGACTCTTGTGTTGCTGGAGTTGCCTAATAATATTTTAGCAAAAATTAGGTCTGATGAAAATCAGCTGATGGAAATTCAACAGGGAATAGAGGAACAGCACCTCCCATCTGATGTAAAAGAATATCTCCATCACTCCTTACAGGTATTTAGATGCCCAGCTCCTGTTGAAATCAGGGCATGATGGAAATTTCTTTATGTTTATGGTTCTCTTTATGTTTATGGATCTAAATTAGGAAAATAAGAGATTGCTTGCGACTGTTTAGATCCAGTTAATTCCTGAATATTTATTACCTATAAAATTAGTTTTCTTCCTTCCACCTCAGTCCTTGAGGCAACGTCTCCCGATGGGGGCTTTTTAGAGGCAGGATGATGGAATTTGTTCTGCTATTGCTTCTGTTGTGATTTTTCTCTGATAAAAGACTTTCTTTGTGAGTAACAGCCAAGGAACAAAAGCGGCATGAGATGTTCCTTATAGAAGAAATGCCACAGTGGGCTCAAAAGTCCTATCACTCTTAGATTTTTATCTTGACTTGCAAAGATAAGATAGTTTACAATGAGTAAAATATAGCATTCGTTTAAGTACGAAAAGAAAGTGATAAGCTTTTTCAGTAACACAAGCCACTTTACATTCAATGTTGCATCGTCTCCCATTTATTTTACACTAATTGTTGGCTTTTTTTCTTTAAGACCTGATTTTTCCTTACCTGGACTCACCCTTAGTGGGATAGCGATCTTCATATGATTGTCTTTTATAGGAAAATCTGTCACTTTCGGAACTACAGAAAAATGAGAAAATCTGTCTTTTTCTTCCCCCCCTTCCAAATGCTGGAAAACTTTCCACTTATAAAAAACCTACAATGTCCTGTTTTTAACTTCAGAGTTATTTCTGACCCAACAAAACCCCTTGTGAGAACAAACAAGTACTCATCACAGCCACAAGATATCAGCAAGTTCGTTGCAGTCATTGGAGCAGTGAGTTTAACTTGGGAAGACAAGATGTGGGACCCAATTGTTCTTCAATAAGGTGAAAGGAGGAATATTCTAATGTGCAGTGAATTGGAGAAGACATATTGTGGCTTGCCCTGTGAAGGATGTCTGCCTCTATGGCATAAAATCTTGCTCTGTGTTCCAAGAACTGGCATTTAAAATGTAGAATGGGTGCACAGC